AAAATAAGAGTGTGATGGGTGTACAACTAACACCATGGGAATGAGAGTCACGTGATTATGCAAAAAGATTTATTTGAGAAGTCTAGGTTTCCCATTTCTTACCCACAATCTAAAGCCCAAAAAGTTCTAAAACCAAAATTATGTTTTAAAAAGATTGATTATTTATAAATAAACGGGTTTTTTTTTTTTGGTCTCTTTTGAGACAGGGTCTCCCTGTAGCCCCAGCTGGCCTGGAACTTGCTATGTAGACCAGGCTGGCCTTGAAATCACAGAGATCTGCCTACCTCTGCTTCCCAAGTGCTGGGACTAAAGATGTATGTTACCAGGCCCTGCATATTTCTCTTTTCTACCTTGGCATGGGTCTCTGTTTTCACTCCACAGAGGAATCCATCTGTTGTACATATTTTGGTGTGAACTTTCAGAGCATTTTCTGTGTATATTAAAGTATTCCTAACAAACAGATAATGCAAATATTACCAGGTACATACTGAAACAAGTAGACACAGCATACCCAGGTGTCTGTAACCCATGCCTTTTCCTCCGTGCAGTTCCTTTTGCACTTAAAAATACAGTGTGTATGTGTGTTTGTACATATATTTAAATATTTTATGTGTTTGAGTGTTTTGTGTAGATGTATGGAAGTATACTTGTGCCATGCTGTGCCAGCAGAGGCTAGAAGAGGGTGTCAGATCCCCTGGAACTAGTTGTCTGTCATATGGGTGCTGGGAATGGAACCAGGTCTTCTGCAAGAGCAGCCAGTGCTCTTTGCTGCTGAGCCATCTCTTCAGCCACTTTAATTGTGTTTTTAGACTTTTCATTTTATTTTATTTACTTTTTGAGACAGGTCTCACTTTGTAGCTCTGACTGGCCTGGAACTTGATAAGTAGACCAGGCTAGTCTCAGTTTCACAGAGATCCACCTCTCTCTGCCTCTTGAGTGCTGGAACTAAAGGTATGCTCCAGCATGCCTGGCTAACTATTTTTTTTTTTTTTAATTGTAAAAGACTAATTTGGTAAGAAAAAATGTAATAGTCTAGAAGAGCACTGAAACAAAGCTAAAACAAATGCTGTTAATAGTTTGGTTTCTAGATTTTCATTCTGATTGTCCCTGTAGTATTTTGTAAATGATTTGCTTATGCTTGCTCTTGTTCCGGTGTATCTACACAGTGTTTATAGGTACTGCTAGGAAGTTGACTGTAGCTCATTTATAAACTTTCTATCTCTTGAGATTACTAGTAAGTTTTAATATTGATAATTAATAGTTTTTAAGTATATGTCTGTACCAATTAGTCAACTTGTAGATTATATATTGATTCTTTAAAATATTTTTTTTTGATTTTTTGTATTTTATGTATATGGATATTTTGCCTGCATGTATTTAAGTGTACCATGTGCATCAGTGTTCACAGAGGCCAGAAGAGGGCATTGGATCTTTTGGAACTAGAGTTTCTGACACTTGCTACCTGTCATGTGGGTGCTGGGAACTAAACCAGGGTTCTCTGCAAAAGCAGCCTGCTTTTAACCACCGAGCCATCACCCCTGCCCTTGACTCTTAAGAAAGAAAAATTAGCTTTTTAAAATTTTTTATTTTTTTGCTTGAATCTTGCATTGAGCCCCCTCTCTCCTACTCCTTGTTACATTGTATTTTGTAAATATTTAACATGTGTGCACTATTTTGTCTTTGAGTAGTTAATTCTAAAATATAAGTATAGGGCTTGAGCGATCACTCAGTAGGTAAGACCACTGGGTGTTCTTACAGAGGACCCTGGTTCTGTTCACTGTACCCACATGGTGGCTAGCAACCATTCATATCCAGTTCCAGGGTACTCAATTCCCTCTTCTGACCTCTGTGGGCATTGCATGACACAGGTGCACTTACATGCAGGCAATACATTCATACACATTGTGGTTGCTCTCCTGCTCGGCCCTCTGCTTGCCCGGTGTTGTGTCCGACTGCTGCTGCTTCTGTCTAGTCCCGGACCCGGGCTGGTAAGGAGGCTGTGTCAGCAGAGCTGCATTCAGAAACAGAAGACCAGGTTCGGTGACACAGATCTGGTTTATTGCAGAAAGGCACAAGCTTATATAGGGGCAGTGGTCCAATCATAGCACAGGGAGTAGGATACCTTATTAGCATAACAGGCTTAGCGTCTTATCACAGTGTAGCAGTATAGTGGGCCAGATGCCTTATTAGCATAGTAGGTTTCAGTTAAGTCATGTGACCCAGGCTGTTGTTACTCAGCTGTTTATCTGGAAGTGACAGTTTTAGAATTTAGAGGGTGGAGAGTGGGAAGTGGCGAGCTCTAGGTATCAGTCTCATGATTTGCCTGTTGGAGCGTTTGTCACAAGGCATTCCTTGTGGCTGCTGTATGGCTGTCATTAAGACTTTCACCCTAGGTTCAAGCCTGTCTCCCACACACATAAAATAAAAATAATAAATAAAACATTTCAAATTTAAGTGTCAGCCAGATTTTATTAAGTAAATAAATATTCATTAGATAAAATTTTCATGAAATAGTTGTTTGCATAGAATAATCTCAGTTACTTTTTATGTTGTTATTGTAGCACTTTGTAGTTTATCTGATTTCTTTCTTTTTTGGGTCAGATGAGTTATATAAAGGACTAGTAATAAAGCTTTATTAAGCTTTAATAATGAGGAACTAATTTTTTTTCCCCTCTATTGTCAAATTTTGTTTATAGCTTTCTTTTCTTTTTCTGGATAGGGTCTCAGGTAGCCCAGGCTAGCTGAAGTATTGGCACAAATTTGAGGTCTTCTTAGGTTACATAGTGAGAGCCTGTCTGAAAAAACAAAACAAAAATAAATTAAAATGAATAAACAAGCTGATTTGGTATAAAAGTAATAACAGCGTGATTATAGTTCACTTTACAGAGCCATTTTTGGTTGTTTATCTTTTGCCTTTTCATAATGAGGTTGTCACCATGGGAGTCCTGAGAGATGTGGCATGGCTTCTGGGGTGGGGTGGTCCTTTCTACACTTCCTTCCTCTACCTGCATGTCTTTTTCCACAAAGTATTCAAAAACCTTTGTCTGCACTTCATAGTTAATGTCTATCTTTTAGGAGCAGACATTTCTAAGGTATTGCATGTCTTGTTGTTTTTTTAATTTGTCAATTGTTTGAAAGTCTCTTTTGGAAAAAGCATTCCTTTTTATTTAAGCCATGGAAAATGTGGTTCAAACAATCCAGGACAGAGTTCTCTCAGTTTCCTGTGTCATGTTCCCAAGCACATCTAGGTATATGGTGGGGATTCAGATATGCTGTAGGGACAGGCCGAGGTTATTGGCCACTTGATTCCAGTTATTTAATTCTCTTCACTAAGTGTCTTATAGAAAGTGTTGTTTCTTTTCCTTTCTAGCTCTCGAGCTCACTCCCCCATGATCGCCGTGGGAAGTGATGACAGTAGTCCAAATGCAATGGCCAAGGTTCAAATTTTTGAATACAATGAAAACACCAGGTCAGTACTGCTTTGTTCAGAATTACATTTAAGTTTTTAAATATTCCTTCTTTCCATTACCTGAGTTCTGTGTCCTTCATTGTGTATTTACTGGTTTCCTGGGATATACCAAGTTCTGTACTATGCTCTCATTTGTAGAAGTTCTTTTTTTTTTTCCTTTTGAGGCAGGGCTTTATGTTTCCCAGTTGGTTAATAAGCTCAAGTGACCCATTTCATCCTTCTGAATAGCTGGTACTAAGGCATGTGTCCAACTTTTGCTAGACTCCAATAGTGTATGGCTGAAGAGAAGAAGGTGATTGGTATCTCAATATGTACCAACTTGAAGGGAAAATGGAAAATAATACTAAGGAATAGCATAAACTTTATGAACTAAAAAAAAGGATGTTAAAGAGTTTTACCTGAGGGAACCTCATCTAAGGATTATGTTAGGAATGTTCACTTAGAGGAAGACCCATAGGATGAGTAGAAAATAGCTGGACAGAGGGTAGAAAGCACTCTTGAGTAGAGACTACATGTCATAAGGTCTGGGAACAGCCTTCACTGGTTGGAACAGGCAAAACGGAATGTGCTGATGAATAGCCAAGACTCAAGACTAACGCCAGTGTTTTGGTGTAATCTGAGGTAGTTAACTCTTCTACACATGTGAGGATTCAGGGTGAAGATGCTGTTACAATAGTCTAGGTGGGAGATTGTAGTGGCTTTGGCACTGAGTAGGGAGAAAGGGTGAAGGCATCAAGATAACACATGTGCATGCATTTATATAGGTTATGATGTTTGAATACATGCAGAGTAGGCAGCTTTTAGCCATGTTTTACAAATGAAGAAACAGATCAACAGCCAATGATCATCTAAGTTCAAATAACAAGAGTCAGGACTAGAAACAAAGTCTTTGTTGTCCTCACTACCACCCTGCTTTTGAGACCAGTCTCACTAAGGAATACCTGGTTGGTATAGAACTTACTATATAGACCAGGCTAGTCTCATACTTGATGTGATTCTTCTGTTCTCCTGCCTCTCCCTCCTGAATGCTGGGATTACATTGTGGGCCATCACACCAGCCATATAATTTCACTTTAAAAAAAAATGTCACAGTGGGCATGGTAGCGCATGCCTTTAATCCCAGCACTCGGGAGGCAGAGTCAGGTGAGTTCAAGGCCAGCCTGGTCTACATAGTTCCAGGACATCTGGGGCTACAGGGAGACCCTGTCTCAAAAAAGACCAAAAAAAAAAAAAAAGTCACTAAGACTGTCATTTGGTTACTCCAGATAGGAAGGGCTCTAGATAACTATTATTAAAGTATATAGTTTTTCTCAGGTAAGGAAAAAAAAAAAATCTGAAGTATTTTAAACATTTTTTTAAGCACCAGGAAGTGTACTAAAAGCTGAAGATAAAAAACATGCATATAACAGCATGCCTTTAATCCCAGCACTTGAGAGGCAGAGGCAGGTGGATCTTTGTGAGTTTAAGGCTAGCCTGGTCTACATAGCAAGTTCTAGGCCAGCTGGGGCTACAAGGAGACCTTGTTTCAGAAAGACAAAAAACCAAAACAACAACAACAAAAAACCCATGTGAATATAATACAGTGTACTGTCCTCATATAAGGAGCTCAGAACCTCTAGGGTTCTGACTATAGTATAGTGCTGTGATGATGTTAGCATGTACCGGGTAAGATGGAGCAGAAAAGAACATAGTAACCTTTGATTGATAGAGCTAGGAGAAGTATTGGGTAGGAGTTGGTGTTTGTGTCTCAGTTTTGAAAGACGGTGTTCTGCAGGTAGGGGGGAGCAGGAGCAAAGACATGAACATGACACAGCATGGTGAGGTGTTCTAAATCTCGCAAGTGTCTAGCTGCTGACACTACATAGAAGCAGGGATGTGAGTGATCTTGCTTAGGCGATTTTCTAGGCTCAGATGCTCAGGAGTGATCCCTGAGGTGTTCTAGCTCATAGGTATTTCAGGGAGAATGTTGGAGTGAAAAGGTCAGGGGAATGTGATGGAAAGGCAGGATGGAGATCTCTGCACTGTCTGCCTACATGCGGGGTTGTGATTTTGTATTGGGTCCTGTATTGCTTTCTTGGGGCTTAACACAACAGAAATTTGGCTTCAGATCTGTCCATGCTATTCAGTTTGAAAAGCTTAAGAACAACCCATTGGAACACTCTGACCTGTTCTCTCCATTGCCTGGTTATTATCTGTTTACTGATAACAGAAACAAAATCATGAGTATCAAAGATTTTCATTACCTTTCTCTTTTAAAAATTTTAATTGTTTTTTATTTTTTGTGTATGAGTATTGCCTGCATGTGTATAAATGCACCTATGTTGTGCAGTGCCCACAGAGTTCAGAAGAGGACATTGGATCCCCTGGAACTGGAGTTAGGAGTGGTTGCTAGCCACCATGTGGGAACCGAACCAGGGTCCTCTGCAAGAGCAGCCTGTGCTCTTACCACTGAGCCATCTCTCCAGCTCACATTTCTTTTCTTGAGCATGCTAGGCAAGTTCTCTGCTACATAGGTCTTTGGTTTTTTGAGACACTCTTGCTGTGTATCCCAGGGTAGCCTTGGCCTTGAACTTGTGATTTGTCTAGGATTACAGGTTTCCACTGCCATACCCAGTTTGAAAGGGTTTGGTTTTGTCAAAACTTAAAAACATCAATCCCTTTGCTATCAGCTTTCCTTATCTATATTCATCAGGTGCTTAGGAAATTCAATGCCATTTTTTTTTCTTTTTCCTTGTTTTCTTTCTTTTTCTCTCTCTCCCTCTCTCCCCCTTTCTCTTTTTCTCTTTCTCTCTTTCCTCTTTCCTCTCTTTCTCTCTCTCTCTCTCTCTCTCTCTCTCCTTTCTCTTCTTTCTTCTTTCTTTTTTTTGCTAGAGATTTGTAGCCTAGGCCAGCCTGTAACTTGTTGATCTTTCTGCCTCCACTTCCTAAATGCTGGGAATACAGGTGTGTGCCATCAGGGCCAGTTCTCTTAATCTTCTCTTTAAAATGGTATTAATGGCTAATAAATAAATTGAGTTATCCTAGCTAAGTTTTTTTTTTTTTTTTAAATCATATTGTTTTAAACTATACTTCAGCTGCCAAAGAAGCAGGCTGGAGGCTTATATTGGTTTCTTGGGACTTAAATTTATTCATTTACAGTTCTGGAGGCTAGAAATCTGAAATCAAGTGTTGACTGGGCTGTGATCCTTTGAAGTCCTTGCTGGGTGGATCTTTTAGATTTTGATGGTTGAACAAGTTCCTTGGTTTGTGGTAGCATCACTCCAGACTCTGCCTTCATGGTTATATGGCACCTTGCCTGTGTTTTTTGTGTTTGTCAGAGAGCTGAATGTTAGAGTCAGTCCTACCTAAATTAAGAGCGTACTCTGAAATCTTTAATTACATACACAAAGGCATTTTTTCTGATAATACATAAATGATAAGTAAAAGATACTTTCTGAATAGGGGCATGTTCCTAGGTTAGAACTGAGGCATGTCATTTGTGGGCCACTATTCAGCCTCTTTCCAAGGTAAGCACTGATGTTGAGAGCAGTTTGAACAGAATTGAGATACACTGACATGTGAAGTTTGACTTTTTCAAAAAGATTTTTAATTTTATTTATATGTCTATGTGAGTGTATGCCATGTGTGTGCAGTGACTGCTGAGGCTAGAAGAGGGTGTTGGATCCCCTGGAGCTGGAGTTCCTGGCAGTTGAGAGCTGCCTGATGTGGGTATGGGGATTGAACTTGGGTCCTCTGGAGGGAGGAGCAAGTTCTCTTAACCACTGTACCACCTTTCTAGCCCCTAGTTTTAAAAGTTTTATTTCTGAAATAATTCTTGCAATTTTCTTTAGGAAATATGCAAAAGCAGAAACTCTTATGACAGTTACTGATCCTGTTCATGATATTGCATTTGCTCCAAACTTGGGAAGATCTTTCCACATTCTGGCAATAGCAACCAAAGATGTAAGAATTTTTACATTAAAACCTGTGAGGTAAGTTCTAGAAAAATTAGGAATTTGACAATATTTTTCCTCCCAATTATCTTTTTTTGGGGGGGAGATTAGTAAAAGTGAAGATCTGAAGCTTGGACTTTTTAATGAATATTTCATGTGTAACCATACGACTTTTTGTAGTGAGGAATTAATTTTGAGTGGTTTCCGCTCCTTTTCTTGTTTCTGTGCTTCTTTGCTGCTACTCTTCTCTTTAAATTTATTAATTAGATTTCTTAGCTTTGTTTTGGGGGATAACATCCTCGTTTGTTGTTTCTTCCATAAAAGCTTCTGAAGAGCATTTATGGGGTGAGATCACTCCAGGCTTTGTAGAAGTCAAATGAAAATGACACTAGGTCACTTCAGGGACTCAGGGGTGGAGGTGGGAGCTGTAGGTGTGCAGGTGGTTATAAGACAATGCTGAAAATACGTTATTTGTGTTTCTTACTTAGAACAACATACATATGTATCACATATACACATTAAACATTTTTTGAAAACTTTCCTAAATTTTTTAAATAGGAAAGAACTTACTTCCTCTGGTGGAACAACAAAATTTGAAATCCATATAGTGGCTCAGTTTGATAATCATAATTCTCAGGTCTGGCGGGTGAGTTGGAACATAACAGGAACAGTACTAGCATCTTCAGGAGATGATGGCTGTGTAAGATTGTGGAAAGGTAAGGTTCTTAGTGGAGAGATAATTGTTCCTTCTATATCTTTATACTTTTCACTTAAAAATGTAAACTCTGAACTCTTTTTTTTAATTACCTTTTGTAGAGCTTTTAAAATAATTGCCTTATATTTGTGCTATTTTTGGATCACATACAAACCTGTTTGTATATGCAAGAAAGCTATTTACGACTAACTAGAATATGGAGTATCTCTGATAAAAGCTAACATTAAACTACTTGTGTAACTTGTGTGACTGCTTTATAAACTTAGATCAGGCTTCCAGTGGTCTCTTACTTTATTCCTGATTGCCTTAAACCATCAGCCCTTGGGTTAGAGAGGTGGCTCAGTGGGTAATGTGTTTGCTGAGTGCAAACCTGAGTTTGAACCCCCAGAATTCATGTGAAAACCTGAGACATAGTGTGAATGTCTGCAATCCCAGTGCTCCCATAGAGAGAGAGAGGAAGTGGAGACAGGAGAATCTCAATGGGCTCATAGGCCAGTTAGCTTGGATATGCAGCACAGCAGAAAAACAACAGAACCCTGTGTCAGACAAGGTGGAAGGCGAGGGCTGACACCTGAAGTTGTCCTTTGACCTCTGTGTGCTTGCTGTGGTACATACACCAACATACACACACAGTCACACATACACATTCAGCTTTTAAATCCACTTTCTTTTTCCTTTCTTTAACTCCCCAATGTTCAAGAATACTGGAACTCTGATCCTGAGTTTCTTGTAGTGCCACACTTGGGGGAACTTGGTTCAGCCAGTTGACTATTGTCAGTACAATCACAGTGGGCATTCTCCGTGCTGAACATCCAGCTTTATAGCTTTGTTAGGTCATTTCCCTGAGCAGTTATTGCCTCCCAAGATGAAGTTAGGCCAAGCCTTAATGGCCTCCCATGTTCAGTGTTAGTCTATATTCTGTAGGACCAGTCCAAACTGTCCTTTCTTCAGTTTGATTTTAAGGGCTTTGCTGTCCTTATCTATGTCTGAGCCTTAAGTAGGGCAACACAGTAGTAACTTGTTAGGCTCCTTAACTTTGATTTCCTGGACTCCTTGACTTCATTAACCAGTTTTGTATTCCAAGAGTAAGGCCATGTTGGATAAGCCACTAAAATGGCTGTGCAAAGGTTTTGTTACCAACACACATCTCTGAATGTAACTAACCTACAGTGTTGCTCATGTAACTTGTATTTGCATAACCAAGAAGATAGTTCCATCCCTTATCCAAATTCATTGTAAGAAAGACAAAGAATTTGGGTTTTTTCTTTTTTTAACGGATTTTATTTTGATATAACTTGTATGTGTACGTGTTGGCATGTGTGGGAGCATGTTGTGTGTATGTGTGTGTGTGGAGGTCAGAGGCCAACCTTGGCTGTTCTTCAGGTGCCAGCCACCTTTTTGTTTTAGACAGGGTATCTTGCCTGGAAACACGCCAAATAGGCTAGGCTGGCTGGCAGCCACTGAGCCCCAGGGATCTGCCTGTCCCCACACCTGAGTGTTGGGATTGAAGTGTGTTCCATCATTCCTGGTGGGTTCTGCTAATCAAACTCAGGTCCTCATATTTACAAGGCAAGCACTTTACTAAGTGATCTGTCTCCAAAGCCCATATATTAACTTCTTAATGTATCAATGTTATAGATGAGAGAATTGTCTCTCCTAATTATCTTCAAGGAAGGGAAATAGGTGGTAAAAGCTTTTATGTTTTTAAAATTAGTAATTCTTGGGGGCTGGAGAGATGGCTTAGTGGTTAAGAATACTGGCTGGTCTTGCAGAAGACCCAGGTTCAAATCTCAGCACCTACACATGGCAGCTAACAACTGTCTGTAACTCCAGTTCCAGGGGATACGACAGCCTTTTCTGTCCTCCACAGGCATTGCACTACATGGGTGCACTTACCTACATGCAGATAATACATACATACACATAAAAATATAAAATATTTTTAAAAAATTAGTAATTCTTTGCGTGTTTTTGTTTTTTTGAGACAGTCCTACTCTGTTGCCCAGGCTAGTCTGGAACTCACTTTGTAGCCCATGTTGGCCTAAAACTCAGAACAATCTTCCTGCCTGAGCCTTGTGAATACTATGATTATAGGTGTGTATCACCACACCTGGTTTAAATCAATAATTCTTTGAAAACCTTAAAAATTTGTTGTATGTGTTTCATCTAAAAATTGTCAAGTGTGACACCAACCTGGAAATAAATGTAGTCTGCTTGGAGTGGGAAGATGGCTCAGTTGGTAAAGTGCTTGCTGTGCAAACATAAGGATCTGAGTTCAGATCCTCAGCACCTAAGCAAACCAAGACTGTTACGGTGTACCTGTAGTCCTCGATGTGGGAAGATGGAAACAGGAAAATCTTTGGAGCTCTCTGGTCAGCTAGTCTTGTCTAATTGATGAGCTCCACGTTCAGCAAGAAGCTTTGCCTCAAAAAATAAGGTGGAGAGTGATAGAGGAAGGCATCCAAAATCTACATCTGGCTTCCACATGCATGTATGTACACACATATATATGAACATGAGAACATATATGCACATATGTTACACATTGACACAGATGTTTTTAAAAAATGTATTCCATAGTCTTGTCTCATTTCTTGTAGTTTTAGGAGAGGGGTACAAAATTGTGCTATTAAAAATAGGTGTTAATCGTGTTAATGTATTTGGCTTTTTCCTTCAGCTAATTACATGGACAATTGGAAGTGTACTGGTATTTTGAAAGGTAATGGGAGCCCAGTAAATGGGAGTTCTCAGCTGGGAAACTCAAATCCTTCTCTCAGCTCAAATATTCCAAATCTTCAAAGCTCATTAAATGGATCTTCTGCTGGCAGGTAGGCTGTTCTGTGGAAAAACTAGAAACTATCTTTAAAAGTTATCCTGGTAGCCACATTAAAATTATTTTATTTCATTACATAAAAAAAATAATTTATTTTTATTTTATGTGTATGAGTGTATTGGCTGCATGTATGTGAGTGCACCTGTGTCATGCAATGCTGTGGAGGTAAGAGGGCTTCAGATTCCCCTGGAACTGGAGTTAAGGACAGTTTGTAGCCGCCATGTGGGTGCTGGGAATTGAACCCGGGTCCTCTGCAAGAGCAGTCAGTGCTCTTAACCACTGAGCCATCCCTCCAGCCCCTATTTCATTACTTTTAAGATGAAATATTTCACAAATAATTGTGACACTAAAGTGTAAAGTTTTGCTCTTAGATCAGTATTTAATGCCTTAACTGGTCATAATGTTTCCAGGTGCTTTGTAAGGCCTTTGAGTTATACTCTGAAATTTAGTGGTCAGTAAAAATGTTAATAGCTTTATTTAAGATTCTGTGTGCACCACCATGCCCAGCTGGAATTTTCTTTTCTTTTTTTTTTTTATTTTAAAAGACTAGGCCTCACTAACCTTGACTAACCTGGAACTCTCAGAGATTTGCCTGCCTCTGCATACCGAGTGCTGGGAATGAAGGCAAGGACCACCATGACTGGCTGATGGAATTTTTGTGCTTAGAATTTTAATAACTATGAAAGGAATTTATAAATCTGAGATCTTGAAGTTTAACATATTTTGCATATATTTAAAACAAAATTTGTTGTAATCCAAAGAATCTTCCCTTTGAAGAAGCCTTGCTTTCCTCTTTGACTTTGAGGTGTTAAATACTTGCATCTACTAAAACAGTTTCATGGTTACCAAAGAGGATAATGGAGATTAAGTTATGAAGCTAAGAATAGACTTAAAAGTAAAGATTTGGTTTTAGGTTGCAGCTTGTACTGTGTACTTTCTTTGGTAATAGTTTTGACATTTTGGTCTGTTTTCTTATTGTGCCAATAACCATCTATGTTAGATCTGTGATGCATTCTCCCTTTTCCATTTGTATTATGTCCTTTAACAGAAAGCACAGCTGAGTACAAGCTAACGGGAGTAACTTTGCTGTTTTGCTGCTTGTTGCATGCACACAGGAATGGAAAGCGAACTCCTTTCCCCCTTCCCCAGCGCCATTTGATCTCTCCCAGGATACACCAGCAGTCTGCTCACTACTAAACACAGCCCAAAAGGCCTTTAAAAATGCAATGCATCTAATCTTTTGTACTAGTCAGTTTATTGACACTACATGTGGAGAGGTTTTTTTGTTGAGACATCATCACCAAAACAATTTTTTGAAATGTTCTTGAAACTAACTTGGGTTTAAAAACTAAAAAAAGATTGTTACCATCCTTGCATGTAATTGGGAGGAGGGAAAACTACAGTCTTATTCCATTTGGAGAATATAGGAATATTTTTTTCATTTTCTAAAACAATAAGCTAAAATGATGAGTTTTATAATTTTAATTTGAAAACTGAGTAAATATTTTTCATAAAGATTGTTTTGAGTGCTAATTTGTTTACTTTTTGTAGAATTTCTTTATAGGTGATATTATCTCAAACAATGCTGTTATTTTTTTGTAATTAAAAATATCATTAAAGGAGCAAATTATTAAAGTAGCACTGGTGTTGCGATAAAAGAAATTTGATGGTATGGTTTGTAGTCAGCAGTAGATTAATTTCTGGTTACTGTTCCAGTTTGTAGTAAAATGGTGGAAACACTTTTTTAAGTTTTCATATTCACTAAAGAGATGACTGTTTCTAATATGTGCATGGATATTTTTATGGTGTGATTCTATATGACGTGGTTTCCTTTAAGACACTATTTGGAAACAAAAGAGATACAATTAAAATTTTTGCTGTAAATGTGCATGCAATTAACATTCCATGTCTCAGGATTTTCTTTAGTTTGTTGTTTCAATGAGTTCATATCTTCTAAAACTGACTTTGGTGACAAAACTATAAATATTTACATTTAATAAAATGCATACATATTACGGGTAAGTTATAAGATGACTGAATAACGGCATAATTCTTTGAGCCTTTTACATATCAAAATTCTTTAGTATTCTAAGTTTTTTTTTGCAGGAAAATATGTTCAATGATTGTAGTTCTTCAAAAGCATGTTGCAGTAGTCGGTTTTACTTTGTGAAAGTGTATCTGAATTGGTTCTCAGTATCATGTATGCACTAAAAATGTGTGCCTGCTGCTGCTACAGATGTAGCATTGCTCAAATGGAAAGCACATTAGATTTGTAAATTTACAGAATCATGTTTGAGAGATTAAAAAATGTTTTAAATTAATGTCTCTGTAACACACATAAATTTTTTTGACATTTTAACTTTAACAGCTTGTATTTTTTTCAAGTTTCTATACATGCTTAAGCAATCTTGATTGAAGGGAGGGCCTTGATTTGTGCTGTTATGTTCTGTTAGTTCTGGCATGAATATACTAGCATTTTTTTTCCTTTTAGCATGCGTTTCCTCCTCTTTGGTTCTCTTTGTATTTACTACTTTTCTCTTTTTCTTCTGTTTTTTTTTTTCCTCCTTTTTCCCCCCTGTTGTTTTTGTTTTGGTATTTTGTTCCTGTCTTCATTATTTCAGGTATTTCTTTCCCCCTCTGGATTCCCCACGGGCTGGATCAAGATGGTCCAGTTATGCCCAGCTCCTTCCTCCTGCTCCTCTGGTAGAGCACTCTTGCGATGCTGACACTGCCGACCTCCAGTATCCTCACCCTCGCAGAGGATACCTCTCTCGGCCTCTTAATCCCTTACCTGAGAATGAAGGCGTTTAAAACACTGATCTAAAGGCCTTATTCAGATGCTTGTAAATGCTTTCATTTGGGGCTGTTTTTGTTTTTCTTCGTTTTCTTTCAGAAGATTTTTCTTGTTAAGGGCCTATCTTGCATGGATTACAACCACAGTATTTGGAACTTAAACCTGTTTGTACTTCTGCATCAGAGAAACATTGACTAGTTGATTATTTTTGATGAAATGCACTTTGAGTAAGCAACATTAAGTGTGAAAGATACGCCGTGTCTGATTTCAAAGTGCCTGTTTTGTACATTTTAATTTTGAACTGTTGTCATAGAGTTAAGTTTTGTGTCCTCTGATGTACCAATTAATGTGAAAATGTATCATTATGGTTCACTCTGCTTTTGAGACATATTAAGAAATACTCTGAATTTTACAGGCTGATGTTACAAATGACTATGTAAAATAAATCATTCCTGTGTATAAAGCAGCAAAACGTAAGGCTATTTTGTCTTTTTTTTTTTTTTTTTAAAGGAAAATGCCTTCCACTACTTGGAATTCTTGCTTAAAAGCTTTTGTAATTATTATCCCCGGAGGTTATTTAATAAAAAATATTTTAAAAGACATGAATTTGTTGCTTTATAAAAATAATATCTACTTGGATTTTTTTTATATATAAGTTGACCTTGAATTTGATATGTAGCCTAGATGACCTTGAACTCCTGACCCATCTACATTTACCTCCAAAGTACTGAGATTATAGGCTTTCACCACCATACCTGTCTAAAATAGTATAGACTTTAAGATAGTTTCAGCTTACTTTCTTTTTGCTATGTCACAAAAACAAAAAAGCCCCCCTCCAAAAAAAATCAGGGGATAAACAGATATTACACTTAAAAGATACAATGCCAAGGGACTGGTGAGATGGCTCGGGGGTGGGGGGTAAAGATGCTCATCACTAAGCCTGATTACCTGAGTATGTTCCATGGAACCCACATAATGGAAGGAGAAAATGAATTCCTGAAAGTTGTATGCACAGACAGACAAAAATGTAATAGAAAAGGAGCCGGGCATGGTGGCACACGCCTTTAATCCGAGACAGAGTCAGGCGGATCTCTGTGAGTTCAAGGCCAGCCTGGTCTACAGAGTTCCAGGAGAGCTGGGGCTACAGGGTGACCCTGTCTCAAAAAGACCAAAAAAAAAAGTAATAGAAAAGGTAGAATGCCAGTGTGTAAATTAACACTTAGAACTGACAAATATTGACTTCAATCTTAGTAATGAGCATTGTTTTCTAAAGGAAAGTTAGAAATAAGGTTATATTTGATATTATGGTAATTATGGTAAAATAATTAAAACTGTGGAACTAGTAATCTTATTTGGAGCTTAGTTTTCTTAGGAATTGTTTAAGATTTACCTTTCAAGACAAAAAAAAAGATATATTTTGAAAAGTACTTTATGTGTGTAAGGTTTTCACCTTGATGATGTAATTGTCATAACTCTATATATTCTAATTTTCAGGAGTTGGTTTTCTTACTCTACCATGGGTCTCAGGGATTGAGCTCAGGTCTCCAGGCTTCTGTAAGAAGTCTTTTTACCCACTGAGCTTCTCTAATTTTCAAAAACATCTTTCTTTAGTTGTGTTTTACTCCTAGAGTGTCCTAACATGCAGGAGATAAAGGACAGATAGAATATATCCTATTTTAATTAAAGGACCATTTAAATTTTGTTGTGTTTAATGATAAAAAATAAGACAGGCATGGAAGGTGCATGTCTGTAATCCCAGTACACTGAATGTTGAGGCATGAGGTTTTCCATGAGTTTGAGGCCAGCCTGGGCTACACAGACCTTGTTTCTTAAGAAGAGAAGATGAAAATATTGTGTCTTTTAATTTAGCATGGCAGTGTGAACAGAAATCCTTTTCAAATCTCAAGGCATTTTGTTAAAAGAATTGTAGATTTATGTAGGCTCAAAGCAAGGCATCTAATTTAAAGATAATTCTGTCTCAGAATCAACAGATCATGTCTTAAGAGATTTTAGTGGTTATGGAGTTATTACAATAAGAATCCAGACCATTCTCCAATTTAATTTATTGGCTCTTTGGTATGAACTGTCTCAGATACTAATGTTGGATTCTATGGGCTATGTGTTAAAATGAAAGGTAGTCAGCATACAACTCATTTTAGTGGGAGAACACATTTCTAAAGTTTGTGGACAGTATAGGCTTAAAAGCTACTGACTTCCCTGAGCTGGCAGATTGGAAGGGATGTATCTATTTTTTTTTTTTTTTTTTTTTTTTTTTTTTTTTTTTTCTTGTAGCCCCAGCTACCCTGGAATTCACTAGTAGACCAGGCTGGCCTAAGCCTCCTAAGTGAGGGATGTATTTTTTTTATTTTCATTTTGTTTTAATTTTCATTTATTATTTTTATGTGTATGTGTGCATTGCCTGCATGTAGGTAAGTGCATCCGTGTCGTGCAATGCCCGCGGAGGTCAGAAGAGGCTGTCGGATCCCCTGGGACTGGAGTGACAGTCTCCAGCTCCAGGATGTGTCTTTTTTAATGGGCTCTAAACTTGAGGTTGAGGAAGGTAAAAGAATGGCTTTGTTTTCAGGGAATATGCTAATGAAAGAGTGGGATTTTAAGGACCCAGTAAGAGATTAATTTGAAATCATACCTTTTTTTAAAAATATTTTTATGTGTATGACTATATTGTCTGCATGTATGTAAGTATATGTAATGCTTGTGAAGGCCAGAAGAGGCCATCAGATCTCTGGAACTGGAGTTATAGATGGTTGTCAGCTGCTGGGTGCTGGGATCTGAACCTGAGTCCTGCAAGAGTAGCCAGTGCTCCTATACGCTGAGCCATCTTTCTAGCCCCTAGAATCATACGTTGTAACTGTGGGAAATGATAGTGGCTGAGGCATTCCACTGAAAGCATTTAATAAAGGAACATTCTCCCACACCACCCCTCTTTGTTTTTGGATAGGCATCATTTCTAATTCTTTGGAAGTACCACTGACTGGCTGTAGGGCTTCTACTGGCTCTAAGAGATGTGGAAGTTAAAATGGGAATTCTGTTTTTCCTATCTAGTTGGCCAATAACCTAGCTATTGAGGTGTAAGACAGTAAGCTGATACTTGTTGAGTGCTTTCTAGATACTAAGTTTAAGTGCCTCAGGGCTCCAGTTATCCCCACTTTACAAATGAGGAAACTGGCCCTAGGGTGCATAGCTAGGACCAGGAAGGGAGACTCAGGGTTCAGATCTAGGCAGATGGTTCTTCCTGCATATACTTTGGCTTGTTCATCTCCATCACCAGACAATCTTAACAGGTTGCTGAGTATTTTAGGGAAAGTACTTGGTGGCTTGGGGATTATGAAGGCCATTGCAGTTGGAAATCCAGGGATACCAGATGGATGGCAGCATGGGAAATGCAGACACATTCCACAGTGACATATTCCACAGTTTACCAGTGGTGTGACTGGCTTAAGATTGTGAAGAAGGGTAAGTAGGTATTACTCAAATCCTCTCAGCCCTACATCTAAAGATTTGGGAGGATTTTTTTTTTTAGGTTTCAGAAAATCTTGAGTTTTTTCACTTACCTTTGCTTCCTATGGACAACAGTACCCAGAGGCAATTATACTTGACAAATTCCAAATCTAGATTGCTTGAAGAAAAGATACCAAAATACCCAGTGGGCTTATTAATAGCACAGGCCTTTACCCTAACACTCAGAAGGCAGAGGGAAGAGTACCAAGATACCCAGTGGGCTTATTAATAGCACAGGCCTTTAAGCCTAGCACTCAGAAGGCAGAGGTAGGTGGATCTCTGGAAGTTCCAGGCCAGCCTGGTCTATATAGAGCTGTAGGCCAGCCCAGGCTACATAGACTCTTAAAAGAGTATTATAGAGAGCACCGAACTTGAGGATTAAGAGGGTACTCCTGATAAAGGAATCAGGACCAAGCTAGATAACTCAAACTAAATGAAAGGTAGTGACAACTGGGCTGGGGGAGTAAGCTCAGAGGTAGAGCGCTTGCCTAGTGTATGCCAGCAAGGAGGTTCTGTGTTCTATACCTAATACCCCAAAAGGATACAGTGTGGCAATTTAAGGAAACAGATGGCAAAAGCAGACTAAGGATAGGGGCAGTATTTCATCTTTTAAATTTGTCTTGGTTTTGTAAGATAGTATCTTGGTTATGTACAGTCTGGTCTTTAACTGGCATTGTTTCCAGAGAGGAACCCATGGAGAGGTTAACCAAGGGGTTAACCAAGCCAGGCGTATTTGGAGCACACAAGTCTGTCCTTTCCCACCAGGCTAAACTCAGGAACAGTGACTTATTTCTCTAAGTGCAAGTGTATCATAAGATGTTCAATAAGTATTAAGAAGTTAGCTTTGGAAAAGAGGGATTCCTTTCCCCTTTTAAGACGTAAAGACTAAGGACCCCCCCCCCCACAACTTATAATACTAATTACTCTTGCCTTTACTTTTCCTTCCCACATCCTATTCACCAGCCAAGGACTTACTTTTCCCCCTACAGATAAGAGTTATGCAATTTGGGAGTCTTTTAGATAGACCCACTGAAGGGGTACCCCAGTTGCCTCACTCTGCATCCCTGTTCATCATGGAAGAAGCCAGAGCAGTCTGCATCCCAATTCCCTATCCACAAGATGGGTAACCTCTTCAGAGGATGCTGTGATAAGAATAGGAGGTAGGAATTGGCTAGGCAGTTAGTGTAGACCCCAAAGAAAAGTAGCTAGTTTCTTGGCTAAAACTCACAATGTTCTTGGGCCTCTTAGCAACATACTCTGTTCCAAAGGCCAAAAATACATGCATGAAATTCTCAATAAATTATTTTAAAAAGCAAGACAAAAAAAGACCAAAACTTTTTATAGAAAATTTGAGTGGACAGTATAAACTTGTATAGAGCAGAGGTAGTGATGGGATTTTGTGGCTTTTTTTTCTCCTTTCCAGTCCAGACGAGCTTTATCACAGGTCATTGGGTGTAGGGAGCTGTCGTTAAAACAGAAATTCAAGGAAAACTTTGCCGCTCCTGCGTCTATTCCACGGTGGGAGGGCGAAAACCTATCGGGTGACCTTCGCCGGGACTGTTTCCTGGTGGGTGAGGTGACTTAGGGCGCCATGTGGTGCCACACTGAACAGAGTGGGCGTTAATTTCAGGTTGGCAGGGATGCAGAAGGCTCCTCACAGTCCCGGGCTGCACCCGCATCCTTTCCCACCGAGCGCACAGCTCCCGGGCTTCAAATCCAAGCACGCGCCGCGTTGACCAATCACTGGCTTTTGCCTGTGCGTCGCCCAATCTCGGCCGGCCCTGAGTCGCCGGCCCGGTCCTGGGAGGTTGCGGAACCCCGGCTGCGCATGCGCATTTGCAGCGCAGCGGCCGCCACTTAGAGGAAGGTTTCGGCCCGCTGCCGGCTGTCGTTGCTGCGGCCGTGGGCCGGGTGAGGGGTCTTGCGTCTGGGAGACGGTTGGGGGTCTTCATCTTGGCCCGCGCTGCGGCTGCTGGGCGGGCGGTGACGGATGGGCCTGGGGGGGACGGCGGTCGGGGCAGGGCCGCTAGGTGAGATCAGTTGGCTGCGTGCGGCCCAGGCCTGCTCTGGCTTTGGAGCCACAGCGCCCTGGTTTCTTGCCCTCCGACTAGTGACGTCTCTTTCCCGGAGGGACTAACTGCCTGTGAGCCTTGCCGTGGAGCTTTTACCTGGCCCAGTGCTCGGCCGACTGCGTGGTGGGATTGTGGGCGGTTCTTTGGTTTTGTCTGCGCTCCGACCCGGGAGGTTTTTGTTGACGCTGAGGTGCTGTCACCCCGTTTCTCGCTTTTCATTTGGTTTCTGCCTAGCCACATTCATGCCTGTTCCTCACAGCTGATACAAAATGAAATGTTGACCGCCTCTCTGCTTTGCTCCTAATTTCAGACTTTGCGTAGTTGACCATGGAGTCCCTTTTGACACAGTCGTTTGGAGGACAGCTGTTTATATGACAATAATTTCATTTGGAGTGACCGTTTTGAGGTCATGCTTCTGATATTTTCACTGCTCCACATTTCAGTTTTTTGGGCAAAGTTCACGGTAAGCTTTAAAAAGTTATATACGACATGTCTACCACATTTTGACATGTACCAGAATGTACCAAGAGTTAAATGATGATTGCTGGCAAGTTTGACTAGGTTTTGTGTTCCACAGCATGTACTTTTTAAATGTGTGCAGGTGTATGTGTAGACCTAACGACTACAGGGACCCAGGAATGCCATTAATTAAATACAAGTGAATCCTTATGTGAAAATCGAGGTCATTCTACTACTTTAAACAAATAGCAAGAGAAACTGCAAAGGTGGCAACTTGGTTCAAATATAGAAGAAAACATGACACTGTATTATTTTAGTTTTAGATGGTGGAGGAAGTGTGTGTAGGTAATGGAATACAGAGGGAAATTAGGGCATTTTGCCATCTAGGAGAGCTTTAGGAATGGTCTATGCATGAATGGTGTTTTGTTTTTTTGGCTTTTTTTGTTATGTGTGTGCGTGTGTGTGCGCATGCGCACGCATACATGTTCTCTTTATTAAGTGAGTTCTAGAGATCCATCATAGGCAGCTGTTGCCTTTACCTGCTGAACCAGCTTGCTTTTATTTGTTGTTGTTATGGAGCGTTCTCTGTTGCCCTGTCTGGCCTAGTATTTTTGGCTGGTCTCAAATTTGAGGCAGTTGTGCCTCAGCCTCCTGTGTGTTGGGATTACAGGCATGCAAGGCTAGATTTGGACAGGCTGGTTGGGACACTTGCACAGTGGCTGAAAATGTAATAGCTGGCATTGGGAATAAGCAGGGGGCCTCAGTTCCAGAGTTCTATTTGAAATGAGACACATTAGAAATTGTTAACTGAGATGCAGGACAGATTGGAAGGATCATGATATCAGCATATACAACTAGGGATCAGGGTTCTGTGAGTGTGCTAGGGTTAAGACTTAAGAGTGATAGAAGAATGAGTGGGAGAATGGAACAAGTTTGGTCTTAGATTTGTTGACTAGAGCCGTTCAGAGGTTTAGAATAATTGTCAAAGAACATTTTGAAAATATGGGTCTAGAATTGAGCACAGAGGTGTAGGCTGAAGGTAGAAGTCAAAGAGATCTCATTAATGTAGAAGAAAGAATACTCTGGGGCCAGAATTGCCTAATAGGAATATAGGACCCCCCCCCTTCCCCCAGGGCCTGGGAAAGTATCTTGATTCCCTCTCAGCTTCAGTTACTTCATAAGGATAATGGCTACTTTACAAATTTGATGAAATAATTAGAAAAGTCTATGTAAACTACTTGGAACATTACTTGACAATAAAGTAGATGGTAAATATAGCTAGTGTCGTGGTTTTATTTCTGTTGCTGTGATAAAATATCCCTACAAAAAGCAACTTAGGGAAGGAAGGGTTTGTTTACATTTCTAGTCATAGCCCATCTTAGCAGGGATGCCACAATGGCAGAAACTTGAAACAGCTAGTCATATCACATCCACCATCAAGAGCAGAGAAAAGGGGGCTGGAGAGATGGTTCAGTGGTTAAAAGCACTGACTGCTCTTGCAGAGAACCAAGGTTTCCCAGCACCCACATGGTAGCTAACAGCTGTCTAACTCCAGTTCCAGGGGCTCCAATGCCCTCTTCCACAGTTACTGCAAGACACAGCTGCTCTTATATACATGCAAGTAATACACTCATACACATAAAATAAAAATAAAAAGCAGAGAAAAATAAATGCTTGTTTGCTTGCTCATACTCAGTTTTATTTCTCTACTCTTGAATAGTTCAGGACCACCTGCCTAGGGAATGATGCTGCCCAAAGTGGGCTGGGTCTTCCCACATCGATTGACTTAAGACTATCCCCCACAGACTTGCCCACAGGTTAATCCATTGTAAACTTTCATTGAGGCTCTACCCATATGATTTTTAGGTTGTGGCAAGTTGACAAAGCTACCCTCCCAAGCTAGCCAGCTAGGAGGAGTTATAGACTGTTTCTTTTCACTCGTGTGTGTGTGTATGTATGTATTTATTTATTTTGGGGTCTCCCTGTAGCCCCAGCTTACCTGGAACTCACTATGTAGAATAGACTGGACTCTATCTCACACAGCTCCACTTACCTCTGCTTCCCAAATGCTGAGATTAAAGGTTGTGCCATCACACTCAGTTCAAATACATATTTCCATTGTTGTGTGTGTCTGTCTGTCTGTGTCTGCATGTGGGTATGTCCACATGAGTACAGCTGACCTCAGAGGCCCAAAGAGCTCCCCCTGGAACTCAAGTTACAGGGGGTTGTGAGCTTCCTGACATGGATAATGGGAACTGAACTCAAGTCCTCTGGAAGAACAGTAAGCACTCTTAACCATTGAGCCATCTCTTCCCTCTAATTGCTGGGATTAAAGATTAAAGGCATGTGCCAGCATGTATGGCTCCATATATATTTTTAAAAATTTATTTTGTGCCAGGCGTGGTGGTGCACGCCTATAGTCCTAGCACTTGGGAGGCAGAGGCAGGCAGGTCTCTGAGTTCAAGGCCAGCCTGGGTCTACATAATGAGTTCCAGGGCAGCTGGGGCTACAGGGAGACCCTGTCTCAAAAAGACCAAAAAAAAAAAAAAATTTTGTGTGCACACATGAGTGCATGTGTGTTTGTGCACACATGTGTTTGTGGGAAATTAGAATGGATATGAGAGGCTGTGGGGTTACAATTGACATGATAAGGGATGACCTCTCTTAGAAGGTAGCATTTAAATTGAGATGATGGTTAGGAAGCAGCTAGCTATGCTGTGATCTGAGAGGTGAATATTTTTGGCCCTGAGGCACATAAAGACTTGGGAGTGTTACAGGAATGGAAAATCTAGGATGTGTGAGCAAGGCTGAGAGGGAGGATAGACAAGTGGGAAAGTAAACTGGTTCATGAAGAGAAAGTGACTCTGGAAGACTTACTGACATGACTTCTGGCCTCCATATGGCATACACACATGCACATGAATTCTCACTCATGTACACCCACATGCTATGAGTACATCATACAGACATATACACATGTCTGTACATATAAATGTGTATTCAAGCTGGGGTATGGTGACGAACCCTGTAATTCCAGCACTTGAAAAGCTGAAGCAGCAGGACTGCAGGAAGACCTTGTCTCAAAGACCAAAACAAATTTTAAAAATCTGTATATTCATTCTTAACAACAATCTGTGATTGGGATGTGGTTCAGAAGTATATGATGTATTTATCATGTTCAAAGCCTGAGTTCAATACCTTGCAGGAAAAAATCTTCTAAGAAGACTGCAATAATAATCTCTGAAACCAGGGCTAGATTGATTTTTAAACATTTATTTTGTGTGTGTATGTAGTTGTGGGGCATGCATGTGCCATAGCATGCATGTGGAAATCAGAGGACAACTTGTAGAAATTGGCTCTCTCCTTCCATCCTATGGGTCTTGGCATCTCCAACCAAGCAAGCATCTCTACCCGCTGAGCCATTTTGCTAGCTCTAAATATCAAACTTTAAAACTAATCCTAAAATCGGTTTTATACCATCTTCGCTTTCTTTATTAGGTAAGTTTGTGGTAATTCTTGCTCCTTTATACATCAAGCCACGGCTAACATCAACTTGTCTTTCTCTACTGTGTTGGTTCTAAGAAGATACATTTAATGTTTGATATATATTCTTAACTGTAAGATAGCAAAGTATTCTGAGAATTACTTTATGTCAGAATATTTCCTAGCAGTGGTCTCTCTCAGTGATGTCGCAGAAATCTTGGTTTTCTAAGATTTAAGAGGCCTTGTTCTTTTAATTGTTGGAAAGTGTTGTGGTAATAGCCAACTTATTTTAAAATGCTCTTGTTTCGCAGTGAGATGGAAGATTTTCGAGGTATAGCAGAAGAGTCCTTTCCAAGCTTTTTAACCAATTCATTACTTGGTAATAGTGGGGTTTTGGAAAATGTCACTCTTTCCTCAAATTTTGGCTTGCCTGTTGCTGTTTCCACACTTGCTAGGAGTAGATCCAGCATTGATAACAGGTAAGGCTTACGTGAACAAACATTTTTTCATTTCTATAAAACCTATAACATACTGGTACAGGAAAGCTGGGTATGGGATGTATTAGGACTTGTGTGTCTGACTTCTTGCCTGCTTCTTTTTGGGTAACTGCCATTCTCTTTTCTCTTTTAGCTTACTGGTTTTATATGTTTTCCTGTTCCAGAATATGTTTGAAAGACATCTGTGGATTACATTTTCTAGCTGTATAAGGAGATTAGTGAACTGTATATTAACATTAACCTCTGACCATCGTTTGGAGTCATTGCATGTCTTTAGAACTGTGACAGTTTCCCTTTTTAATTCTTTTCAGCCAGCTTCATGCTTTATTGGGTCTGTGTGGCTGCCTTCCTTTGCTAGCCTTCAGTTTGTTGTATGTTTCTGTTTTTGTTTTTGTTTTTGCAGTACTGGGGATTGAACACAGGGCTTTATGCATGCTAGGTGAGCACTTTACCACTAAGCTACATCCCTAGGCGCTGGTATATGCTTTGGAAGTAACTTAGTTTGTATTCATAATTCCGCTTCTTCAGGGCAAATTTTTCTTTTTTAGGAACCAAATCAGCTTTTATTTTCTTTTCTGTTCTGGTTTTATAACTAAGAACATGTTTGGCTAACTATATTTTATTTATGTCACTCCAGATGTGATGTGTATAGTTCACACATGATTTCATGTAAGGTCCGGGAAATGTGTAAGACTTGAGCATGTTTAAATACCTGACCACTATATCCTTCTCAACCTAAACATTTCATAAGAAATATCTTTACCTTTGGGATGAAGGGGATGGATTAATTCTCTCAAAGATTATTTTGAACATTGGGGCTCCTATGTGTTTTTATTTGCTGGTGGCTAGTTTTATTATTAATTATGTATTAAAATTATTAATCTTGACAGGTCTCATGTAGACCAGGCTGGCCTTGAAGTTATTGTAGTGCAGTATGATCTTGAATTTGATCTTCTTAGTGCTACCTAGAATTACAAGCTTGTTACAACCATGCCATTTTATGTATTGCTAGGATTGAACCCAGGGCTTTATACATACTAGGCAAGCACTCTACCAAACAATTTGCCTAGCCCAACATGGTGAATTTTAAGTGTACATAATTTAAATATTAACAATTTTGATTAGGTATCCTGATGTCCAGGCATCGTACTTAATAGAAGAGAGGCTTTCAGTCCCATCTGAGTCATCTCCAAGTTGCCAAAGTGACAGCAGTGAACCAAGAGAGAGATTACAGCTCAGCTTTCAGGCTGATGAGTAAGTGTATACCTTCATTTGCTTGCACTGTGGTAAAAGCTAGCCTTAGTCTTGGAAAATGTATGACTTTATGTTGAATTCTAAGCATCTTTAAGACCTTTCATACATATATATATATTTTAAATATTTTATATTTTTATTATATTTTATGTGTACGAATGTATTGCCTGCATGTATGTGAGTGCACCTGTGGTGTGCAGTGCCTGAGGAGGTCAGAAGAAAGTGTCAGATCCCCTGAACTGGAATTATGGACAGTTAGTTGCCATGTGGATACTGAGACTCAAACCCAGCTCCCCTGTAACAGCAGCCAGTGCTCTCAACTGCTGAGCTGTCTCTCCAGCCCCTTCCTTATGTGTTCTAATCATGTTTAGCCTTCTAAAATAATGTTTTTCTGACTGTAAATTAACATGCTCTTTGGAATAAGTTAAAAATATAGACAGCTACTAGGAAGACTAAATAAAGGCCTGTTACAATTAATAAAGAGACACTGTTGACATTTTCTTTAAAAAAATTATTATGTTTGTTTGTGTGTGGTATATGCATACCACAGCACATATGTGGAGGTCAGAGGACAACTTATAGGAGTTGATTCTCTCCTTTACCATGTTGGTCCTGGGGCGTGAACTCAGGGCATTAAGCTTGGTGGCAAGACTGACCTTGAACTCAAAGAAATCTTCCTGCCTCAGCTTTCTGAGTATTGGGATTTCAGACAGGCATGACTGCACCTAATTCTGCATTTTATAGTCTCCCAGATTTTCTTTCTTTTTTAGGGGGGCAAAGGGTACTGATGGGCATTCTAGACTATTTTCTATATATATTTAAACTTTCATAAAATAGAATTAAACTATGTGTATTGTTTTACCTTTTATTTTTTTATTTTTTAAAAATATTATTTTTACTTTATGTGTACGTGTGTATTTCCTGCATGTAGGTAAGTGCACCATGTCGTGCAATGCCCACAGAGGACAGAAGAGGTAGTCAGATCCCCTGGAACTGGAGTTAGGGACAGTTGTTAGCTGCCATGTGGGTGCTGGGATTCGAACTTGGGTCTTCTGCAAGAATAACCAATGTTCTTAACCACTAAGCCATCTCTCCAGCCCTGTTTTACCTTTTAAAAAACTGATATATTGCCTTCATTTTTTTGGGGGGGAGGGGGTCGTCTTTTTGAGACAGGGCCTCCCTATAGTCCCAGCTGTCCTGGAACTCACTATGTAGACCAGGCTAGCCTTGAACTCACAGACATCTGCCTGCCTCTGTTTTTTTGAGACAGGATCTACCTGTAGCCCCAGCTGACTGGAACTTGCTATGTAGACCAGGCTGGCCTTGATCTCACAAGAGATCCCTCTGCCTGTCTCCTGAGTGCTGGGATTAAAAGTGTGTGCCACCATGCCTGGCTGTATTCATCTTTTATAAAATATTTTTTTTATTGTGCTCTAAATTTTATGTATATGAGTGTATTACCTACATATATGTAAGTGTACCTGTGTCGTGCAATGCCCATGGAGGTCAGAAGAGTACGTCAGATCCCATAGAACTGGACTTACGGATGGTTGTTAGCTGTCACGTGGTTACTGGGAACTGCTGAGCCGTCTCTCCAACCCCCTCATCTTTTAATTATAGTTACTGAACACCTATCACGTTAATGGCTGTAGATTTGAGTCTGTATTGGAAAGTTAGACTATTGCAGTTTGGGTATTATAAATGTAATGGGCTTATTTATACATGTACATTTGGACAAACACTTCGAACACCTATGAAATTATTTTAATATAGAGTCCTAGGATTTTGGACTTTTTTCTGAGGCAGTATCTCATGTATTCCAGGCTGGCTTTGAACTCACTGTGTAGCCAAGGATGACCTTGAACTTCTGATCCTGATCCTTCTGCCTTCTCAAGTTCATAGCCGACCTTTGTTACAGAGATAGTTTAAGACTGGCTTGAGCAGCTTAGCAAGACCTCTTTGAATTTTTTAAAACTTTTATATTTAAAAAAAAATGTGTGTATGCATGTCTTTGTGTGTATGTATATATGTGTATGGGTGCCTGCAGAGGCCAGAAGTGTCAGATCCCTTGGAGCTGGAGTTAGAAGCAGTTGTGAGCCTCCTGACGTAGGTATTGAGAACTGTACTTCCAGAGTTGTTGGCTCCTCTGGAAGAGCAGCAAGTGCATCAAGCAGTGAGTCATCTCTCCAGCCCCTCAAATTTTTTTTTCTTAAGTTAAAAAAATACCTTATATAGCTTAGTGATAAAGTATTTGCCTGGTATACATGAGGCCCTGGATTCAATCCCCTATTACTATCAATAAATAACATAAGTCCTGACTTTAAAAAATTATTGTCATTGTGTTGTTCTCTAATCTTTCTACTATTTGTGATATAATTTTTTTTTTTTTTTTTTTTTTTTTTTTTTTTTTTTTGGGAGTTTTGTGAAAATATATTCATGATTGTAATATCTTCTTGACTGATTCTTCCTTTGATCAAAATGAAATATCCCTCTTTGTCTTTTCTGGTTAGTTTCAGTTTAAAGTCTATTTTGTCCGATATTAGGATTGCTACGCCTGCTTTTTTCTTAGTGACATTTGCTTGGTATATTTTTTTCCATCATTTCACTTTGAGATAGTGTCTGTCCTTGAAAGTGAAATGAGTTTCTTGCAGACAACAAAAAGATGGGCTTTGTTTCTTAATCCATTCATACAGTCTGTGTCTTTTGACTGGGGAGTCAGTCCATTAATGTTTAAAGTTATTAATGAAAGATGAGTATTGAACCCTGTCATTTTTATTTCTGTTTACATTCTCAATATAGCTGTGCTTTTCCACATTTTTGAGACAGGGTCTCCTTGTAGCCCCAGCTGTCCTGGAACTCACTATGTAGACCAGGCTGGCCTCGAACCCACAAAGATCCGCCTGCCTCTGCCTCCCAAGTGCTGGGATTAAAGGCATGCGCCACCAGGCCCGGCTGTGATATAATTTTTATACCATTTATTATAGGCCTTTGGTATACCTCTGCCCTCTTTTATTGAAGGTGAAATTTCCCATTATTATCTATACATGTGCCTTTGGTTTAAGCTAATGGTGTTTAATATATGGCAGTCCCTATAAAGAGATAGAGAAAATTGGGAGATAAACTGCAGCAGGGCAAGAGTTACCTCAGAGACAGAAGTTGTATGTGGGAAGCATGGACGGGCTCTTATGACTTCAACTTGGAGTTTATGGTTTCTCTTTTCATCAATTCTGGCTGAATTTAAGCCTGATTCCTGGACTCTGTCAAATGGTAAATTTGTTGCATTTGGAACTTTTCCCTGAGCGTTCTTCTTTATGCCTCCTTGCTGTAGTGAGTTGCTATAGACCCACTAGCTGGAAATAGGTTGAAGGAAAATTGCCTTTAAGGAAAGCCATTTTCATATCCCTATAAAACAGTAGAGGCAGATAGAAAGTTAGGTGTTAAGAACAGAAGTGGAAGTAGAAATAAACTTGTAAAACTTTTATTACCAAAGCATGGTGGCATACTGCAATCCTAGCACTTGGGAGACGGGCAGGAGGATCATAAGTTCTAGTCTAGGCTGGTCTACATGGCAAGTTGTAGGCCAGCCAGGAACCCAGTGAGACCCCATCAAAAAACAAAACCAAACCTGAACCAAAAACAAACTAAGAAGTACAGAACCTTGATTAATTAAAGAATTTAGCTGTTTTGGCAAACACACTATTATATAGTATTTCTTGCTTTTAGGAAACTGTTGTTTTTGGGGTTTTTTTTCCCCATAGACATAGTTTTAGACTTACTTGTGTGAGAAAGGGAAAAAAAAAAGTAATTATTTTCACTTGAGAGGGAGAGTAGCAATGAGATATTTGCTGTGGATCTGGTAGACTGTGTCAACAGGACCCAGCATGCTCATCTCGTCCTCAGAATGCCACTAGCATTGCCAGTTGGATTTTCTGGCTGAACTTAACTTAGAAGTGATCATTTCACTGTGTGATCTCTTGTTTTCCCTCTTGAAAGATGAAATACAAAGCTGATTAATACTTTATAGATTTACCTAAGGTAACTAACATTTTATCATAATTCTCCTTTAAAAAAGTTCTATCTCTAGGAAAGAGAAGTATATACAAAGTCCACGTTTGTTACATGCTCTCACAAATACAAGAGCAGAAGAGCATCAGGTTAACACTACCACATCCCTTCAGGGGCAGGATCTTTTGGACAAAGTTTCACCTCTGGAACAAGTAACAGGTACTGAACTGGAAATTAAATTCTTAATGTATAGATTTTAAAGGTTTTTCATTTCCCTGTCTTTTGACTGTTACTTATTTTATGTTATGATAAACAGAATGATTTGGTTTAGCATCTACTTCATAAATCATATTTACAAGAATTTCCAGCAGTTTAAGATTCTTAAAATTTTCATGTATACAAGTGTTTTGCCTGCACGTATATAGGGGTACACCATGTGCATAGAGTGCCCATGAATGCCAGAAAATGGAGTTGGATCCGCTGGAACTGGAGTTAACAGATGGCTATCAGGCACTATGTTGGTGCTGGGAAACCAAACCCGAGCCCTCTGGAAGAACAAGAAGCACTCTTAACCACTGAATCATCTCTCTACCCCCTTATAATATTTTGTAGAGGTCTCTTAACCAGTCCTCTGGATTGTCTTGGTGGGTTTGAAATGTCCTTTTCCTTTGAAGCCCTGCTGTCATATAGGCCTAGCATGTTTATGTTTAGAACAAAGAGCCTATTTCTAGGATTCTTTTCCTCTCAGAAAAGAATACAGAAAGGTATTTAATAGTATTAGTCATCAGAGAAATGCAATTCAAAATCATAACACTTCACATCCAAAACAACTTATCAAAAAGACAAAAATAGCAAACATTGGTGAAGGTTTAGAGAAACTGAACCTTATAACATTTATGGTGGGAATGGAAAATGGTATACCTGCTATTATCTGATTTTAGGAAAATGGTTTGACAGTTTCTTAAAACATTAAAAACAATTTACCATGTGTATTAATCAGACTGTTTGTGCTTTTGACAAATAGCCTAAAGAACCTTAGGTGGAGAAAGGATTTATTGTAGCTTGCAGTTTCTATCACGATAGTTCATGTTCAGCTGTCTCCACTGCTGCGCACCTGTGGGGAGTCCTGAATGTCGTGGTGGAGAGCATGTGGCAGAGCAAAGCAGTTCTACTCCTGGTGGACAGGAAGCAGAGAGACATGTAGAAGGGGCAGGGTGCAAAATAAATCCTTTAAAAGCTTCCCCTCATGACCTGCTTCTTTCCAGGCCCCACCTAATGTTTCTGTTACCTCCCAGTAACAAATGACATCACATTTTGTGTCCATTAGTAGGTTAATCCAGCTGGGGACCAAGCCTTCATCCAGTGAGCCTTTTAGAGGGCATTTCATGTCCAAATCTTATACCATATAATCCAACAAGTCCATTCTCAAATATATACTAAATAGAAAGAAAAGCATGTCCACACAAATGCTTACACATGAATGTTCATAGCAATGTTATTCACAGTAGCTAAAAGGGGAAACAACTCATATGTCTACCAGTTGATGAGTGAATAAACAAGGTGTAGTGTGCATTGCTAGAGTACTAGTCATCCATAAAAAGGACTAAATAAAGTACTGATATATTATTTAGAAAGCATGCTAATTAAAGGAGACAGACGCAAAATTCCATTAATCCATAGAGACAGAAAGTAAATGAGAGGCTGTCAGAAGCTAGGGGAGAGGGAATAGGAAGTGATTGCTAATGATGGCTGAGCAATCTAAGGAATATTCTAAAAATTACTGAATTGTATACTTTAAAAGAATGAATTAGGGGCTGTAGAGATGGCTCAATTGTTAAAGAGTACTGGTTGCTCTTGCAGAGTACCTACTCGACAGCGAACAACTAACTGTAACTCAATTTTCAGGGGATCTGACACCCTCTTCTGACCTCACTGGATACTACACAACATGGGTGTACTAATTTTTTGTTTTGTTGGGAATTTTTTTTTTTTTTTTGGTCTTTTTGAGACAGCGTCTCCCTGTAGCCCCAGCTATCCTGGAACTCACTATGTACTTATTATATACAGGCAGACAATATACTCATACACATAAAATAAAAATAAATAAATTTTTTAAAGATTAAGCAAAATAGAA